CAGCAGCGTGGCGCCGGTGGGGCCTCCTCCGGCGCCATTTGTGGTGGGCGCGGAGGCCCTTCACGAGATGCACCGGGCAACGCTGCACCACCCCGTTCAGCACGGCATCGTGGAGGACTGGCCCAAAATGGAGCAGATCATTCACCACACCTTCGCGGAGTTTGACTTGGACCCGGCGGAAACGTCGCTTGTCTGCACGGAGCCGCTATTCACCCCCAAACAGAACTCCGAGCAGATGGCCGAGGTGTTGTTTGAGGCCTTTGGTGTACCTTCACTTGCGCTTGTCTCCTCGGGCATGTGTGCCCTGTACTCCAGCGGGCGTACAACAGGCGTCGTTCTGGACTCGGGCGCTGGGGTGACGCAGGTGACACCGGTGTACGACTCGTACATCATACGTAATGCGGCAAGTCGCTTTAACCACGGCGGTCGCGAAGTAACGGAGCACCTACGCACCCTGCTCTTTGAGCGTGGGCTGAACTTTGCTTCGCCGCAGGACTGGCTATCGGTGAGGCGTATCAAGGAAACCCTTTGCTACGTCTCCTCCTTGTACGAAAAGGAACTTCAAGAAGGGGAGGAAGAGTTGCACCTATTTTCCCTGCCAGATGGACAGGAGGTTTGCGTAGGAAAAGAGGCTTTTCGGGCGCCAGAAATTCTTTTTTCTCCATGGATCACAATGTCGGAGCTGCCCTCCATGTCTGAATTTGTCGTGACTGCCGTGAAGGGTTGCGGCATTGACATTCGCAAGGATTTGCTCTCCAGCATCATTCTCAGTGGCGGGAATACCATGTTCAAGGGGTTTTCCTCACGGCTGGCGGGCGAGGTATTGAAGGAGTTCCCCGGCCTCTTTGGGAGCGCCAAGGTGATCGCTGCCGCCGATCGCCAGTACAGTGCATGGTCGGGCGCAAGCGTCTTGGCGGGGCTTGCATCCTTTGCAGACCACCTGTTGACGCGGGACACCTTTGAGGAGCACGGGCCTAGCATCGTCCACAACTACAGTCGTAGCGCAACGTTGGGCGTGGAAGGCAGCGAGAACGGAAATGCTCCTGAGGAAGTGCCGTAAGCACGCAGAAGAAGGCCGAAAAAGCGGGAGGTGGGTGGAAGTACTTGACGCACGGTTGCACCTTGCTCCCCACACATGCACAACACCAACAAGGATTGTCCCTTCCCAAAGATGTCTCGTGTTTGAACAGTTCTAACAAGAACTGTTGGTAATGGGTCTTTGCTCCGTCGTGACTGCTTGCTATTATTATTATTATTATTATCGATGCTTTTTCCACATTATTGATATTTTTTTTTCTGATTACCTCACTTCATTTCGTTGAATGTTGGCCTGTTTTGAATTATTATTTTTGTTATTATTATTTGTTTTATTCTACTTGTGCCTGTTTTTACTTATTATTATTGTTTGGTGCGGAGCCAATGTCTAAATGAGAGGGACTGCGTGGGAAGCTCACGTCGGTCTCATCTTCCTCCTTTCCTTCTCTCTGTGGATATACGTTTCCCCATTGCCGTGAGGTCTGAGCGTGTGTCTTGTGTCGAATACTAAAAGATGCTTGCTGGTGGCAGTTTCGGAGCGAGATGGAGAGACGTGTGCGCGTTGTCTTTCGGCTTCTACTGCTGTGTGTGAATGTCTGGTGAACGCCCTTCCCTCCTCCACCGTGCCTCCTCGTCCCTTCACACGTCTTCTGCGCGTTTCCGCTCCGCGGAAGGCTTGCACCTTGCCATGGCTGAGCTTGTGGTGTTCGAGAACCATGACGTGTACTTGGAGCACCCGGCCCGAGCCAAGGTCCCGCGGGAGATAGACACCTTGGAGCGCTTCTTAGGATTCGTCTCGGCACATATAGCGGCCTTTTCTGGCGACGCAACCGCCGCCGGTCGCTACCGCTTTGTGTATTCGTTGAAGGGAAGGCCCCTGTGGCGTGTGGCAGACTGCCTTGCGGCCGCTGAGGTGGTTGTGAGCTGCACGCCAGGCTTCCTCCAACGGAAACGCGGCACTGGCCCACCTGCGCAGTCTGGGAAGCCGAGCTGCGCCGCGGGGGTGTTGACGCCCACTCCTCTCCTTGACGCTTTGACGTCTGCTAGGACTGCCGCTTCTTCGTCGTCTGCGGCAGCGGGGTCCGCGAGGGAGGCATTCCTCCCGCATGAGGTGAACCCCAACAGGGATGACATCTCCGAACGCGCGGCGAGAGGGGACGCCAGGGTGCGGGGCGGCGGAGGCGCCGGGTTGGGCTCCGCCGTCTTATTTGTTGCTGGGCGGCGTGTGGTGCTGCCGCCGCTTCCCCGCTTAGTTGACCCGGCATTGGGCGCCGCAACAGAGATGCGGCACACCGAAAGGGTTGCCGCAGTGCGTGTGCTGCTTTCGTTGAAGCTTCTTGGGCGCCCCTTCCCGGAGGGTGCGCTGCTCTTTCGCGAGGAGCTGCAGGCGCGTCTTGGACCCGTGGTTGAGCGGGCAACCTCGGGGGCTGAGGAGGCCGCGGCTCGCGTGGTTGTGGAGGGCCCAGCAAAGAGTGGGGTGTCGACAACTCTTGCGTATTGTTGCTACATGGCGGCCTCTGAACCGAGCGGTCGGCTGCTTGGATGTCTCTTTCTGCCTCTCAACTTCGAGCTCCTCTTTGACGGCGCGTGGCTCCAGGAGTCGCGTGGAGAGAACTCACATGCCCGAGGACCATCTGTGAACACTGACAGACCGCAAGCACTGCTGCTGGACGTTCCCTTTTTCTTCCTGACGTTGGTGCGGGCAGTGGTTGATGCCGCGGTGGCTCAGCGGCCCTCTTTGCGGGACCACAGTCAAGTTCTCATGAAGGCATGGGAGCAACTTGTGACGCGGGACGGAGCTGACGCGCCCGAGTTTGGTGACCCGCGCTTGGCGCAAGTTATCGGTCACCGGGCGATTTACGAGTGGGAGGCGTTCGCGGCAGCCGCTGTGCAGGTCCTGCGTGCAGTTAAAGATTCCCCGCAGGATATGCAGCTGCGAGACGCCTTTATTGAAACGGTTTTGGTAAGGTTTGTTTTCCACGTCGCGTCGGCACTCCGCTTCTCTGGCGTGGTTTATGTTCTTGACGGCCTTCGGCTTCTCGCGGGTGTCTTGCGGCATCGCATACGGCGAACGTTGGGCGACGCGGGGGTGTTTCTCCGGTGTCTCACACAGCATCGCTGGGGACATGTCTTTGCTGGCGTGGACACCCTTGCATTTCCGCCTTCGACTGTGCTTTTCCCTGTGCCGTTTCAATGTGTGCGGCTTCTCCACTTGCTTTCACCGGAGTTGCTTATCAGGCGTTACGGCTACCCAGTGACTATTTACTGCGGCGGTGAACGGTTCCCGCTGCAGTTGCTCATGGGCGCCCCTGGTTACCTGCGGGCCCTACAGGCCCTGCTGGACGCGCATGCCTGGACGCCGGCGGATCACGAAGAAGAGATGCGCTACGCCCTACGAGTGGAGGACGTCGACGTTCTCCACTCTCTTCGAAGGCTCAGAAAGGTGCTTCAACTAGAAGCTCAGCTTAGAATAGACTGATGTCGTCGACATGGGCCATTGTTCTTTATACCTATGCATATATACATAAATTTCACTCTAGCTTATTTATTCATTCCCCACGCCGGAAGGTGTTTTATGCGCTTCTCCTTCTGCCTCTCGGTGCGCGGCTGCGCCAGTGTGTAACGACGTTTGCTACGAGTTCCCTTGCCATCTGCATTCGTTTTTCTCACCTTGCTTCACCACCTGAAGATTGTCGTCGGTGTTGTGTTGCTGTTTTTTGTTTGCTTATTTGTTTCGATCTAGTCGTACTGAGTGAAGGTGTGTGTGTGTGTGTGCAGCATACAGGTCCCGCAGCGCAGTTTCACGCAGGCGAAGCTGCCTTCACGCACGCTATAAACGCGAGCTAGAGGGGGAGCGAGGGTGAGAGGGGCGCGCAAGATGCCTAGTTGGTGCCTCATTGAGAGCGACCCGGCCGTGTTCACGGAGTTGCTCGACCGCTTCGGTACCCGCGGCGTTGCGGTGGAAGAAATGCTGGGGCTCGAGCCCGAGTTTCTGCGCCAGCACACGAACGTCTACGGGCTTATTCTGCTCTTCAAGTGGAAGTCGGGGAAGTCCCCGGTGCCGGACGGGGTGGTGGTGCCTGACGCCCCCGTCTACTTCGCCCGGCAGACCGTCAATAACGCCTGCGCCACCCTCGCGCTGGTGAACACGCTTCTTAACTACGGTGATCGCATTCAACTGGGTGATGCGCTTAGCAATCTCCTGGAGTTTACGCGGGACATGAACGCCTATTTGCGTGGGACGCAAGTCACGGAGAGCGAAGTGTTGCGCGAGGCCCACAACTCGTTTGCCCCAACCGAACTTTTCATGCTGGACGGCCAGTCACCCGACGCCAGCGACGTCTATCACTTTGTCTCGTTTGTGTATAAAAACGGGTCCATTTGGGAGCTGGACGGTTTGCAGGAGGGGCCCATCCTCGCCGCAGACGCCACAGATGCAAACTACAAGGAGAAACTGGTGGAGGTGGTGCAAAAACGCGTGATCGACAAGAGCGCTGCGGATACGACGGGCACAGGCCAAGGCATCTCCTTTTCGCTCATGGCCGTGGTCGACGATAGGTTGTTGCAGCTGGAGAAGGAAATTGAGGCGGCAAAGGCGCGTGAGGAGCCAACCGTGTACCTCGAGGAGCAGTTGGGGCAGTTGCGGTTGCAGCGTGAAAAGGGCCGTGTGGAGAATCAGCGGCGGCGTCACAATTACGTGCCCATGATTGTGGAGCTGCTGAAGGCACTGGCGGAGAAGGGCAAGTTGGAGGGAATTGTGGAGGAGGTGTTGGCGAAGAAGGCGACGGCGACATCCAGCGATCGTTCATAACTCTCTCACACACACGCACAGAGAACACCTGCCACAGGGAGGAAGAAACGAACATGAAAAAAAATATATATATATGAGTTTCAGCGGTGGTGTCTTATATATACATATATATATATATATGCACATATGCGTGGGTGCCTTTCTTCGTTTTGCTTTACTGTTTTTTTTTTACTGCAGGATCGTTAGAGAGATTATTTTTTTTTTTTTCTTTCTCTCCTCCACTTCAATGTGTCGTGAGAGGTGTGACTCGCTTGCTGCGCCTGCGCTGCTTCTGCCAGTTGCCATTTGTTGGGTTCGCCCTGCTTAACGAAAAAAAAAAGAAAAAGAAATGAATTTGTCTCTATTTCTCTACTAACTTCGTTTTTTTTTTCCTTTTTTATTTTGGTGTGTGTGTGTGTGTATTCTTCCCTCCTTCCCTACTGCTATGAACCTGTGCGCGCATGCGAATGGTGGCGGTGTTGTTGCGTCTTTGGCGCTATTACCGCTTCTGCGTGATTTTTTTCCCCTAAAAAGTTGTCTTCGAGGCTCACGTTCTGTTCGCCGGCTTCTGCGTTCCCCCGCACCTTGTTGCACGCCAGAGGGGAGGAGCAGGGGGCGGGGCGGGACGCGGTAATTATGATTGTTTTGCCTTCGTCCTTTTCCTTTTCCTTTTCCTTTCCGACACGCGCGTCCGTGGCGCAGCTGCAGCGTAGCTATTCCCCAGATACACAGCATGAGTGCTTCGGGCGGGTTCGGTAATGGGCGCTTTGCGCGGGGGAAGCGGGCCCGCGAGGGCGCCAACGCCGCCGCCTCGGCGGGGAGCAATCCGCCGCAGAGGGCGCGGCCAAATGGTCCACCGGAGTATTACCTGCAGGTGCGCCAGGTGGTGTTTCGCGTGCTGCAGGAGCACGCCGGTGCTGCTGCGATGCTGACGCGGGGGAAGCTGGTCGCGTCACTCTGCGACGCCTGCGACGCCGTGGCGCGCCAGGAGCCGCTGGAGGCCCCGCTGGACCTCGCCATGCTGAGAAAAGGCGTGGACGAGTGTTTGCACGGGGCCAGTGGATCGGAGGTGGACACGACACAACTCGACGCCATCGCGGAACTCCTCACCTCGGGCTTGGCGAAGGTGGTGCCGAAACTGCCGCCGCCGACGGTGTCCGAGGAGACGCCGGAGGACGGCACGCGCCCCGCAAAGAGACAACGTGGGGCGGCGTCGTTGTACGCCGTGCTGCAGGACTACCGGTTTCTTGCCGAGGAGTCGGAGGAGACGGAGACGGCACAGGTGCGTGGCAGTATTTTTCCAACAACGCCCGTACTTCCCAGCGTGTTTGCGGAAAGTGCCGTCTGTTCTGTGAATTGCGTGACGTTTGAGCGTCTTCCCATGAAGTACTACGCCCCAGAGGAGATGAAGCGGCAGCTGGAAGCAATCTGCACGCGAATACCCAATGCGTTCTTCCTTAACGTACATTGTATTCCGGGCGAGGGGTGCGCTGTTGTCTCCTTCAACAGCAATGAGACTGCGGCCGCTGTCATGTTTATGGTGAACTCGGCGAATGCCACCGGCGCTGCTGGGGGTAACATCGCTCCCGTTAAAGTGAACGTGGTCCCAGCCACGGAGGCGCATCAGCAGCTGTTGTGGGGGCCGTTAGTGGAGCGGGTGAAGAAATTGGAAGAGGAGTGGCGTGTTTGGCACACCAAATATGTGGCACATCCGCCCCACGCGATTCGTCAGGCGTGGTCGACCGCAAGGGCCAAGGGACTGAAGTTGGAGCAGGAGCTGCGGCAGCTGGCCTCCGATGAGGCGATCAAAGACGGCGCGGAGTTGGGGGCTACAGGAACGGCAGCCTCGCCCTCAGAGGAGCAGCTACGCAGGAAACTGCAGCTTCTGCAGGAACGGTTGGGGTGCAAGCAGATCATTGACCAGGCGGAGGGGCAGATGCGGGAGTTGTATGGGGAGGCCTACGCACAGCATCTTACCACAGGTCCCACAGAGGCGACGTATTCGACTAGCAAGGCCAACGTGTCGAATCACCGCAGGCTTCTCTTCGTTACCGATCTGCCAGGCGGGCTGGACGACGCGGAGCTGTTGCAGTTCTTTCGCATCATCGGTCTGCAGCCCGTACACATCTGGCGCGACCCCGCTAAGGAGACCTCCATTTGTGTGGAGGTGCCCAGCGTGGGGCACAGTTTTGCCGTTCTGCGGCAGCTGGACGGGTCAGGGATGCGTTTTTGTGGGGCGTATTTCTCCCGTGAACGCGTTGTTGCGGCGTAAAAGGGTGAAGGTGAGCTGCGGTGCTGCTGGCACCACCACCACCGCCGCCGCCGTTACTGTTGTTGTTATTGTTGTTGTTGTTCTTTTTTGTCCCGTCTTCGTTATGGCTGTTGTGTGCCTGCGCGCGCGAGTGCGAGCGTGTGCGCATGTGCTTGTGCTTTTTGTGTCCACTGCGGTGCCTGCCAACTCTGCGTGCCTCGCCGCGGTGGGCAGTCGGACGCTCTCCTTTTCCTCCTCCTCCTCCTCTTTCATTTCCTTTTCTCCGTTTGCCTGCTCCTGCTGCCGCTGTCAATGCGCAGATGCGTTGACGACACAACGGCGGCTCCCATCGTGCGTCGGCATCCGCGGCAGCAGCAACAGCAGCGGCATTTGCTGTCGCTCCTCCGGCGATGTGGAACTTCGGCGAGAGAGGCAAGTAGCTCCCACGTCGTTGCGCCGCATCGAGTCGCGTGCGGGCCCTGCGCGGGTGCCCGTGTCGGAAGCAAAGGTGGGCGTGACGCACTGACTTCGCTGCGTGGCCCCAACACAATACTTCGCACGAGGCGATGGCTCAACGCGGATACCAACCGCTACCTGCAGGAGCAACAGGAATATATCCCCGCAGTCCGTGAAGCTGCGGAGGAGCTTCTCACACGTCTGGAACCACTGCAAGACCACATACCGATAGAGATGGAGCGGTTTTTTCGCGCCCTTCACGCCGACGCACTTGTTGCGCTTTTTGAGTACTTTGTGACGTATCGTCCCCGCAGTCTCTTTCGCTCCTTGCGCGACGGGGAGGGCTGCGGTTGCGAGGCCTCACCCCTCTGCGAGCTTCTCCTGGCGGCCCTGGCTGAAAGGAGTGTGGAGTTGTCCTCCAAGCACGTGGCATTTATTGGGGCACTTTATAGCGCGTCTGGCGTGGAAGCCCGGCTATTTCCGTTCATCCTGTACCACGCTCGGCATTCGCTGCGGCGAACACAGGCGGTACAGGCGCTGCGCACAATTTCTGTCATGAGCTTCCACGCGGTGGACACGTTGAGGTTTGGGCCCAGGCATCCACTGCTTGGGGCCGCCACCAGCGGCACCCCGCTGCTTACCTCCGCGCTGAGTTCCGTGATGGTGCGATGCATGGAACTTGAACAGACGCACGAGGGGTACGACACGCGGAGTCTGCTCTCGCAGGCGCTCATGCGACACTACAGCCGTGTTCAACCAGACGTTCGTGCGGCATGTCTCTGGTGGGTACGCAGGGGCCTTCACAAAAGCAACGGCATCTCTCACTCAGCGGTGCTGGAGGTGAGGCTCGATGACGCCCCGTTGCCGGCTGACGCCTTTTCCGCCATGGAGGCGGCCAGCCGTTCCTTAACTCTACCTGCGTTTGACAGCGCCCACCTTCGTTTGCTCCTCAAGAAGGATTCAGCAGTTGACTCCAGCTGGCGTGCGTCTACTAGTAGAGCCGCGTATCCGGCTGCCACTGAGCAGGGGGATCCTGCGCTCCTGCTGCATCAGCAGCTGCCGACGTTGCAGCGGCTTCACGGCGAAGTCAAGCTTTTGGCGCTGGAGACGCTGTCGCGGCGGGTGTTGGAAATTACCCAGCTGGACGCCGTGGTGGGGTTAGCAGAAGGCGTTCTGCGGTATTCTCCGTCGTTGTCTGAAGTTGTCATGCATCGCCTGCTCCAGCTCGCCTGCCTCGATAGCGCAGGGGCCACGGCGGTGTCGACGCTGACGGCCATGCATCGACTACTGCCACACGTCGACGTGATGGGGGTAGTGGAAGGTGCCATGATGTGCGGCGTCTGCACGAGCGCCTTGGCAGGCCGGCGCGCGGGCGTTAAACCCGCGACCGCTCCTCCACCGGACTCCCTTGTGAAGTGTTTGGCGATGCATCTTCCCTCGAGTCTTCTCCCTGCGCTGTTCCATCGCCTGTGTCGCCAACGGGAGCTGGCGGCATTCCGTTTGCCCCCATTTGTGCTCCGCGTGCTGCTGCAGGCGCTCGAATACACCAATGCGGACTCTCTCTCCTGCGAGGATGCGACGTGCATTCAGGCGTTTATTCGGCAAGAACGGCGCAAAGCTCTGCCGCATTTCAGGCCCACGCTAGCACCGAACCCGAACGAGAAGGCAGAGATGGGAATGGAAAGGGGCGAGGACAAATTGCTTGCAGCCATCGACGCGTGTGCCATGTTGCACTGCCGCAGCTCGAATGGCAGTGGTGACGTGTCGCTCCAGTTACCACCGACGTCGACCAACCCGGCCACCGAAAGCTGCAAGGCGGCTGGTGCAGCCAAGGCGGCCCTTGCCTCCCTCTTTGGGGTGCGGGCCACAACACTGGTGACGACCGAGGCTGCGGTGCGGGAGCGTACATCTCTTGCCTGGCTGTACGCCATTTACCGCATGTCAGTATCCATCATGTGTGAGCTGGAGGCTCTCGCAACGCTGGCGCTACGCCAAGGGGCCCAGCTTCGCCTCAACGAGCGACAACGAACGCTTGTGGAACTTTCTGAGTCGGTTGACGAGAATCTTATGCTTCCAGACGTGAATCGGCAGGTTTCGGCCGGCAACATGAACAAGGATGCATTGCGTGCATGCATTGAGGAATGGTTGTTGAATAAGGAGACGAGCGGCCAGGCACTTCAGCGATTGGTTGCGTTGCTGGAGAAGGAAGACGTGGCGTTGGCGCCGTTCCTTTGCTACGCCGCCATCGCACGCCACGATGTTACCGCGATAAAAGAGCTGCGGCTACGAGCACCCGCAGCTAGTGCCATTTTCTCTCGTGAAGGCTCACTCGACAGCGCGGGGATGTATGCAATGCCTTTGCGTTCTGCTGCACCTTGTGCGGCCACTGCGGATAGCGCGGCGGTCGTGTCCGTTGAGGCTGCAGCCGTCGAGTGTCACAGTACCACGTCTCGTGGCGTGGCCTGCGGCGGTGGCGGTGCTAGTATTGCGGTCACCAACCGAGGAGGGAATGGCTGTGATGGCGCCGCTGCGGACGCGGACCCAAGACAGGGCTCTCATATGCCCGATCTGACGACTGCCGCCGCTTTTGTCCTTCGTTTCGCGGAGGAGCATTGGGGGGATAAGGCGCCTGCCGGTGTTGATGCGGCACGCCTCTGGGCTCAGGTGGATCTGCTTCTGCTGACGAAGGATTTCGCTCGCAAGTTAGAGTTCTACGAGGCGGTGTTGCGGTTGTGTCAAAAGGAACGACTGGCGGGATTTGCGGGGCGGGTGCCTGCTGCCGTTCATCGCGAGGTGTTTGCCGCGATAGGAGGAAAGGGTCTCTGGGCGCAGGGGCTGGACCTTCTCCGCCTCGCCGAGAGCGGTTCAGGGGGGATGCGTGTTCCTCTGCAGGCCTATCAACAGGTCATGCGGGCCTGCTTGATGCATCGCGTTCCTGTCCCTGCCTTTCTGCGTGAGAAGAGCAAAGGCACCGTGTCGGTGGAGTGACTACTGCTGTCTGCGGTTACTTCCTTGCTCGCTCACTCTCTATCTCTCCCTTTCACTCTCTTGTTATGGACCTCTTTACACTTGTGCCGCTGTCGTTGGTTTACTCGTTTGTTTCTTTTACTGTGTGTGTGTGTGTGTACGCGTGGTGTCGTCCTTGTTCCCTCGTCCTGTCGGATGCCGCTGCAGCTCACACGCCTCCCTCCCCGTGGCGCAGTGGACGGAGGTCGAGTGTGTGATTCCTCGTGAGCGTCGGGGTTGGAGGTCTGCTTGAATGGACTGCCGCTTCCTCATTTGTTTGCAACGCATATGTCTGCTTCCCTTTCTCCTCCTCCTCCTTTTGCCTCGTTGCCGCGGCGGGGCAGTGTCGTATGCCCGGTGCGGGGCAGCGGCGGGAAGGATGTTGAACGCGGCCATTTATGAGAGGACGCAAATTCTGATTGGGGACGACGGGGTGCGGAGGCTGCAGGGGGTCAACGTCTTCCTCGCGGGCGTGGGCGGCGTGGGCGGCCACTGCGCTGAGGCGCTGGTGCGGGCCGGGGTGGGGCACATCACCGTCTGCGACCACGACGTTGTCTCTGCCACCAACAAAAACCGCCAGCTTGTGGCGCTTGACAGCACAATCGGCGAGAGCAAAGTGGAGGTGCTGGCGCGCCGCCTGCAGGACATCAACGTCCACTGCCGCGTGACCGCCCTCGACGCTCTGCTTCTCCCGGAGGACATGGAGGACATCTTGACGCGGCAGCGCTACCACTACGTAGTGGACTGCATTGACAGCGTGGAGTGCAAAGTGGCCCTCCTTGCCACCTCTGTGCGGCTCGGGTTGCAGACCTTCTCCTCCTGCGGCGCGGGCGGCCGTCTCGACCCGTCACTCGTCTCTGTTGGGGACCTCTTTGAGACGGAGAACGACGCCCTCGCCCGCTGCTGCCGCGCCGAGCTGCGAAGGCGTGGCGTTGGCCCCGGCAAGGTTGTCGTCGTGCATAGCAAGGAAAAGGGCCTGAGGCCGCTGGCGCCGCAGCGGCAGGAGTGCGGCGGGCGAGACCGCGCTATAAACGGAACGATTAGTTACATGCCGCCGCTCTTTGGTCTTCTGCTCTCCGCCGCGGTGGTCCGACACGCACTGGACCCGGCGAGGGCGCAGCGGGAGGCGCAGCGTCGTCTGAAGCGGGCGAGGAAGGAAGATGCACGACGAGGGAAGAAGCCGCGTCCGGGGCCGTGATGCGCCGCGCAGCAATGAAAAGGCCGGACCCAACAGGGACTCTGTGAAGATGAGTTCATTTCCCTAATTTAATTTGTTGCCCTCGTTGCTTTCCGGCCCGGTTGGGTGGAGCACCTCTCCCTGTTGCTTCTGCCGCTTGCTTGCTCATGTACAGAGTGGTCTTTTATATATATATATATTTGGTCTCTCTTTCTTTCTTTCTTTCTTTGCTTCTCTTCCTCCGGCACAAAAAAAACGCACACATATATATATGTGCATATGTGGCAAGAGAGACGCGAGTTTATTGCGAGCCAAAGTGAATGACGACGTTGTCGCTTGCCGAGGCCTGGGGCGACGGCGGTGAGAAGCTGCAGGGGCAGCTGCCCCAACGCCAGCGAAACATTTGGGGGCGTCTTGTTATTGCGGAGGTGCCGTACCCCGTCATTGCGGCGGACGATGTCGTGATTTGTCTGTATGCCAACCGTCTTTTGTTTCGTGTGTCCTCCTCGGCGTTTACCGTCACCGTCTTCCTGCGGGACATTATTCGCATCGTCAGCTTCATGGAGCGGGGCAGCATTGAAATGGAGGTTGCCCGTGCGAATGGAGGCCACCGGGCGTACATTGTCATCCTGCGGGAAGTGGATGCAGCCCTCATGCTCTACGACGTGCTTCTCTCGCTGCTGCCGCCGCACGTGAAGGACAGCTCGGTTGGCCTCCCCCCCTCGCAGCCGGCGTACGCGACCGACTACCCCTTTGCCCTCATGTCGCCAAGCATGATGGCGGCTTCCGGCTTCTACGAGCTTTACCCGCGCACTGGCGCGGCAATGCATGCGACCGCCCTGAAAGAGGAGGAGGTTTCAACGCGGCTCTTCCCTCCCTCCGGGACGCAGCCCCTGCAGATCTCCTCTGGGCGTTTGTCGTCTTCGTCGTTGTCGGCGCCCGCGGCTGCAGCAGCGACATCAACCGCCCAAGCACGGCAGCGAGAGCGGCAATCAGAGTTGCGAGAGACGTCCCAGAACGACGGCGGCACCCCACTGCTTCTTGGCGCCTATTCAGTAGGCGTCGAGGCAGTTGCGAAGAATGAAGAAGCCGCGGTGGACGCTGTGGATGAAAATAATCCACTGGATGACCCGCACCTCCCAGCGTACCATGCTGGGAGTGAGCTGCGGCCATGCGCTGAGGGCAATGCGGGGGATATGAGGGCAGCTGCAACTGTCGCTGCCGCTGCCACGTCGCTGTCGTGGGGCAACCGAGAGGCAACGGACACCCTCGCGCCCATTCCGCGTGGTTCCAACGTCAGTGTCCATGGCCGTGCCACGCTGGGGCCCCTCTGCAGTATCTGCCAATGAGCAGAAGTAAAACTTGCAGGTCAACTGGGGCGCATCCAACTTTGCCTCTGCCGTGGAAGGGAAGGTATTTTTTTTATTTGTGTGTATACACGTCTTCATTTATATTGTTATTTTTTACTTATATATCGACATTATTTTGAGTGTGCGTTTCGATTTCCCTTGGCCGTCTGCTCCGCTTACGGTGGTTAATGTTGAAGTTGCTCGACAGGTTCAAGCAGGACTTCCTTCTGTTTTTCTGGAGGTTGTGGTTTCGTTGCCCTTTTTTTTTGTTTGTTATTGTTGTTAGTACTACTTTTTTTGTGCTGTCATTCATCATCAACGTACACCGAAATATATATATATATACACAGACACACACAGCGACTCGAGGAGCTGGAATGTCTTGGGACAAGCTGCTGGGGCTGCGTCTCGTGCTGGGGGCTCTGCTGTGCGTTGCCGCATCCTCCGCCTACGGTCAAATGCCAACATTCATCAACGCGGGGGAGGGCGGGTGGGGCGCTCCCACCGAGACGCAGCTGGGCGAGGAGGACGCCGTCGTGAAGGCGTTGCCGGACCCCGACGCGCCTGGGTTTTACCTACCGCTGAAGTGCTCCGCGTGCGGCGCCATTGTGGAGCACGCCGTTCACCTCCTCGCCCCCGTCGTGGAGCAGCACTTGGTGCGTCGGGAGCGGGAGACGCGGGCCGGCGGCAAACCCCCACACCGACTCCAACCGAAGGAGATTGAGACAGTGGACGCGTTCGAGCAGCTCTGTCGTGAGGTTCCCGTCCTCTACGGCTTGGAGATGAAGAGTGGCACGGTGCCCTCACTCTTTTTTAGCAAAAGTGACATGATTAACCGCGTCCGTGGCGGGTGGATGCAGTACTTTCTCGCCTCCACTTGTGAGGAGCTGCTTGATGAGCAAGAGGAAGAGCTGGTGGCCGCCGTCTTCGCCGCGGCGGAGGAGGGCGGGATGGTCGGCCTCCCTACGAAGGTGCGGGAGGCTGTGTGTACGAGGTGGAAGAGAAGCTCAAAGGGGTGCGACAAGCACGGCCTGCCGATTGACCCGAGATCAGGGGATTCCTCCGACCTCTAAAGGAGGGGCGCTGCGTGGACGACGAAATCGACGATATGGGCGATCTTCTTCCGCCTTGCCGTCTTACCGGTGTGTGTGCGTTTGTCGTTCGGTTGCGTTTCCTCGTGCGTCCGAGTTGGCGATGATGCCCTCTTTGCCTTTGCCCCCCATGAGCCGGATGAAGCTCCCCGTGCGGCGTGTTCCGGTGGTGTGCCGCCGCACGGAGAGCTTCACGGTGGCGTAAGGGGCCGTCAGGAGGTAAAGTTCTTCTGTGAGTGTCTTTTTTTTGTTGTGTGTGTGTGTTTTTCTGTTGTTTTTCTCGGTTTCCGTTTTGTGATCTTTTTTTTTGTTGTTGTTGCTGTTGTTACTGTTTTGTGTCACTGTATGCCCCGCGTTGTGCGTGTGCCACTCGCCCCTGTTCGCTTCTCTCCTCTCCGGCGGTGGCGGTGGCTGTGTGTGGGAGAACGGGGAAAGCGGAGCGCACGTCATGGCGGACGAACACGACGGCGCCACCGCGCGGCGCGACGAGATATCCTCCGCCGTCGTGGAGCACCTGCGCAGTGCCGTCCGACAGGCCATGAAGGACCAAGAAACGGCGGAGGTGGTGGAGCTTCTCTGCGAAAACAGCGGCTGGACGGTGGAGGACTTTCTTCAGGCGCCGCACGAGCTCAAAGCGCTGGAGGTGTTTCTGCTGTCGACCCCCGAACTCCCGCAGCTGCGCCTGTTTCCGTACCTCACCGTCGTGAAAATCATCCACGTCGGACTGGAGAGCATGCGGAGCCTCTCCTACCTGCACCACGTGGAGGAGCTCTGGCTGAATGAAAACAACATTCGCAGGATCGAGGGGCTGCATCAGATGCAGCGACTTCGACGACTCTTTCTGCAGGGGAACCGGATCGAGACTATGAGTGACATCCCGCATCTCCCGCTGTTGCAGGAGCTGTGGCTGTGTGGAAACCAGCTACGCCACATCACGGGGTTGAACCTGTTGCCGGCACTCACATCGCTCTGGGTGGCGTCGAATCGTATTGCGACACTTGACAACGCCTTCACGGCCAGCATGGCAAGCATCGAGGAGCTGAATCTGTCAAGCAACAGAATTTACTTTTTGGGGCAACTCACGCATTTAGGGGTCCTCAAGTCGCTGCGCAGGGTGTGGTTCAGCGATCCAATGTACGGAGATGCCCCCATTTGTCACCTGAGCAACTACACCACATTTTCGCTGCGTCACCTGCTGCAACTGGAGCAGTTGGACGGCGTCGCCATCACCGCGGAGCAGCGCTCCCTCGCGATCTCTGTGTACGCAAAGAAGAGCATTTATTATAGCATGCGCCGGGCGATTCTTGACAGGAATGTTTCCATTCTTCTTGCGCGGATGCAACAAGAGGTCGAGGCGAAGCGCAATGTGGTACGTAAGGCTCTGCGGCAAATAAATTTGGAGATCACGGCGTTAAGTGAAGCTGCGCCCAACGGCTCCCCTGCAACCGGGGGAGCCACGGAGGAGGAACAGGGTCATGTGTCCAAACTGCGACAGGCACGGGATAGAGGCGAGGTTGAGCTGGAGGGTCTTGAGCGGCAGCTGTTGGATGCGCAGGAGCGCACTGGGTTTGAGTACGACAGCCTGCATGAGCGGCTGCTGCTGGAGCTCAATTCGTGCGGTAACATTCGCCTGGAGGAGGGGTCACCGGAGGATGCCTGGTGCGCCAATGCAAAGGAGTTAGTCGCCAGCCGGTTTGACGCAGCCCTCTACGAGAGTTTGGGGGTCACGGGTGTGAAGGTGAACCGAGTCTTTCGCATCATGTGCCAGGGCCTGCGGGAGCGCTTCGACAACCGAATGCGGGAGCTTGACGTCGATCTCGTAGACACCCGCAACCGTCGCGCGTTGGTGCGCCTCTTCAGTGCAGTGCCCAAAAACTTGACGGAGCAGCGGCGCTTTCTCCATGAGGTGATGATCAACGGCTTCAGTGGCCTCTACGCGGAGGACGACGGGGTGCCGCTCACGAATAGCCTGTACTACGCCGACCAGGAGCGTCTGATGTTGACAAAGACGAAGCACCGCGACGTGTACGGTGTCCGGGTGCCCCTCGAATCATTCTCTGGGCAGCTGGTCGTGTCCCGGCTTTTCTTAGGGAAGTGCGTGTCCGAGATGGGAGCCTCCCGCGAGCAGGAGGCCAACGGGGAGGTGCCGTTTATGAAGAGTGAACGGCGCCGATGCACACGGCGCCAGTACGGCGACGAGGTGTTCTCCATCTACCGCGCTGCCCCGCACGACGCCTCGGTGAAGGTGTGGCACATGTTTGAAAAGTCCCTGGTGTTGCCTGAGTACGTGATCGACTTCACGTACACCACGAAGCTGCATCGCCTTAATAGCCCCTTGCTCTCTGTCTACGACGATTTGGCCGCGCTCCGTGCACGCATTGAGAAAATTGTGCCGGAGGAGGCCCCAGATAGCGCTACCGACATACGGACGGTTGGGTACCCGTTGTTGTCCTTTTTACAGTGGCTGGACTCCGGCGCCCCGCACGTGTTTGCTAACGAAGAAACGGATAAAATGCTGCGCAGCGCCCAAGGGTTGCGTCAAACAAAGACGGTTGCATTTCAGGTCAGTGGTATTCTCACCAATGAACTGATTGAGGCCTACAAGAGTCATGTGTCACCCGCAGCTGAATCCCTCATGGTGTTGTGTGACATGTCGGGTCAGCAAATCACATGTATTCCGGCATCGCTTGCCACCACGAAGCTATGGGCGTCGCTAACGCATCTTTTTCTGCCGGACAATAAAATATCCTCTATAGCATGGGAGTCGCTGGCGCTTGTGGCGCCAGCCCTAGAAAAGCTAGACCTCTGTAATAACGTACTGAACAGTCTGGATTTTGCCGCTGCCCATTTTCCTGTGCTGCATTGGCTCTGTCTGAGTTTCAACAGGCTTCATGCGTTGGAGGACCTGCTTCCGCTTCGCGAGGGCCTGCCACGGTTGGAGTCCCTCGACATGGATCATAACCCCTGGATGGCGAACAAGCTGGCTGAGGTCTACTGTTTCGCTGTCTTGCCTCAGCTGCAGCATCTGAATGGGATTTCGCCCTCACGACATGCATCGCTGCTGCGTCGCCAGAAACGCACCTTTGCGATGGATCAGGGGATGCTGCAGTACATTGTTGCGGAGGAGCGAAGGCGGCAGACGCAGGATAATGTGGGCGTCTTTATGACCCAAACCGACCTGGACCAAATGAGTAGTGAGGATGTGGTTAAAATTGTCTCCTTCGAGGCGGTGTTTGCGGAGCTCATGGAGAAGACGGAAAAGGACCGCGCCTGCCTCGTCTCTGCCAACCGGGATCCACCCGCGCCGCCGCTGAGGAGTGTCCGCAGCTTTTGTTTTCGCTTCAGCCTGATGCGCGGCCTCGCGTGGCTGTCGCTGCTGCCCCAGCTGCGACACTTGTGTCTCCAGTCGCACGTGATTGAGGACCTGTCCCCTTTGGCGGAGCTGCGGCACCTCCGGACGCTGAACGTGAGCGGGAACTTGGTGAAGACGGCCAAGCCCCTCGCCGGACTGCGGCTGCTCTCCTAGATCTCTCGCGCAACCAGTTGACGGGGGTTGAGGGGCTGGAGGAGATGAGTGACTTGCGCTTCCTCTGCGTCACCGAAAACGCCATCACCCACGTGGCTGCGCTGCAGCGCTGCAGCTCCCTTGAGGAGTTCTACTTTGCTAGGAATTTGATTCGCGACGTGCGGGACCTGCACCCGCTGCATCGCCTGCTAAACCTTGTCTCCATCGATGCCGCAGGTAACCCGTGTAGCGGGTCCCACGACACTGAGCAGCACCGGCGGGAGTACCGCAATTACCTCATTTACAACCTTCCGAAGCTCAAGGTGTTAGATGGGATGCCTATAGGCGAGGTGGAGCTGCAGCGCGCCAGGGACGTGTTTGCAGGGCGGGTAAATCCCGAATTACTCGCCGAGCGCGTCGGCGCGACGAGTCAGTGGAAGAGCGTACACGAGTTGGATCTCTCGCTCTGCGGACTGCGTGAGGTGACCATGATGGAGCCCTTCGTTGCCCTCAAGGTGCTGCATCTGCACCACAACAGTATTTCTCGCATCGATGGGTTGATTTCCCTGCACAGCCTTGTTGCGCTGGACCTCTCCCACAACCGCCTTGCCCAGTGCCCCGTGGGTCACACGCTGCAGCACCTCCACAACTTGCGTTCGCTTTCGCTGGAGAGCAACCACATCACCGACGTCTCGGCGCTTGGCCTGCTGCTGCCGCGGCTGAATTTCCTGAACCTGAAGGGGAACGAGATCACCTCCATTGATCAGGGCCTGCAGGGACTGACGGACCTGCGAGAGCTTCTGCTCGACAACAACAAACTGCGAGCGCTGGGACCCGACTGTTTTGCGAACAATTTGCAGCTGACGGACATCTCCGCCGAGGAAAACTTTATTCGCTCCACGGAGGGTCTTCAGCCGCTTTCTCGCCTCAGGGTGCTTGTGCTGGCCTCCAACCGCCTCGGTGACCTGCGGTTGCTCCTCAACGATCTGCGGAACGCAACGTGCCTCGCCACGGCGACGTTCGTTGGAAATGCCGTCGCACGCAAGCCGCCGTACCGGCCGCAGACGATTGCCGCACTGCCCGCCCTGACGGTGCTCGACAACAAGGAGGTCACGGAGGAGGAGCGGGACAAGGCGGAGATGACGCGGGCGGCGGAGTATTCGGGGCCGCACAACGTTGTCCTCGACCCCTCCTTTTCCCTCGACGCGGTGGGCGGGGTGCGGGTGACCGGGGCCGCCGTCCAGCCCCGCGCCTTTTCTAACCAGACGCAGCGGGTTCCCGTCAACAGCAACCCCCGCCTGCATCTGCCTGCGTACAAGAACGCCGGCTCCATTCCGCCGATGCGGGACGGCGTCCGGAAGGGCGTTGTTCCACGCGTGCCGGGTGGCCCATGATTATGTAAAGTTGTATCCCCCCCTTCCTCCTTCCCCTTCTCTCTCTCTCTCTCTCCCTCCACGCCAGCGCCTTGCTCAGTTTGAAATGATGGCAACCAAGTGGTGGCAGCCAGTACCGCTCTGTCGGGGAGGGCTAACACACAGTAAAATGTGAACACTATTTGGGCGCCAGTAAACAAACGGAGAAGGCGTGGTGTGGGTGTGAGGCTGCTGGAGAGCCCCTGTCGCCGGAACGGCAACAGAGGCAATATGGAAAACATGTTGGCAGCGGAAACGAGGCCCATAAGCAAGTAGAAACGTAACACTGGCGGTGCCGCCTCGCCGAGAAGGTCGATATCGGTGGGCGGTAAAAGTGGCGCCTGCAGCCACCATCCACGGTGTATTTGGTAATACGCACCTACGCCCCTTTATTTTCCTTTTTCATTTTCCCTTATTTTCCTCTATCGTTGCTGCTGCTGCTGCTGCTGCCGCGGCCAGGGGTTTTTAGCAACACCATTTCCCACGCACAGAAGCTCACCGGCGAGATCACCGCCGTGGAAACTATCTCTCCCCCTCTCTATCCCTCCACATACACACACACACACACACAGAGAGAGAGAGAGAGAGAGAGAGAGAAGAAAGGAAAAAGAAGGTAGGGGTTCACATAAACGGATTGTATATATTCTTATAGGCAAATTCGTTTCTTTGTTTGTTTGTTTCTGTCCGCGGCGCTGCGTGGAGCGTGTCTTCCCAACTCCCATTCCTCCGTTGACGATGGACAAGTCAAAGACGCTGGAGGTGCTCCGTGGCATGAAATTCATGCAGCGGAAGGAAGAGACAAAGCGCCGCGAACTCTTTGAGCTTGATCAACAAAAGCGGTTGGAGGAGCAACTGCAGGCTGCATCCGGCGCCGGCAATGGCGTCAGCGGGGTGTCGATTGCGCAATCGCCGCTGGCAACGAAGCGGTGCGGTGCAACGATTCTGTATGACACGGGCTTCCCGCGGGAGTCGTACAACTTCGCACGGCGCTCCTTCCTGCGCAAGGTTAGTTACGCTGAAAAGGTTGCTGACACTAGCACCGCCGCGGGCGCCGCTGAGGGCACCAGCGACGGCGCTGGGTGTGGCGGGAAGGAGAAGTCGGCAAGCAGTGAAACTCCTCAGGAAGGACCTCACCGCGGCGACGCCGAGGGCGCTCCTAGCGACGGCGGCGAAGGGGACGCGACTGAATATGACCCAACCGCAGTGTGCGGCGGCGATGGTGGCAAGCGGTTCTGCGTCAATCTGCGGGCGCCGGCGTTGCCGAAGGGGCTGGCGAAGCAGGTGGCTGCTGAAAAGCGACAGAAGCGGCGACGACAAGAGGAAACAGGAGGAAACCGGGACCAGGACGCAGTGTAGCGTGTCTCATGCGTTATGCAAGGCTAACAAGGCGCCAGAGGACACGGTGAAGCGGTGACGGGGTACTCTGCAATCAGTAAAGTCACGGTTAAATCCAAAAGCAATTCCCCCACGCAGTGCACACCGTACTGCACGGGCCTGTGTGTCACTTTTAATTTTGGGTGTTTGCGCCCATTTTAAGTTTCATGGTTCTTGTTTCTACGCCGTGTTTGTGCAAGGTTTTTGTTTGTTTGTGTGTGTTGTTGTTTTTCTCCCATTTTCTTTCTTTCCTCCTCGCTTCCTCTTTTTTTTTCTTTTCTTTTTCTTTTTTGCGCTGCTTCTCTGCGTGACCTTTGAGCACAAAGACAGAGTACCTGCAGGTGAAATATTCCATGTCGGACCACCACCACCAGCAGCAGCAGCAGCAGCAGCAGCAGCGCACCGCCGCCGCTGTTGCCACCACCATGGCGACTTGCAGCAAAGCGGAGGCGGCGGCGGAGGACAACTTCGCCGCGATGCGCCACGCCGCGATGTCGATGTTTAAGCAGCGCACAAAGGACCTCACAATGGTCTCCGCGTTGACCGCGGAGGCCGAGGAGGTGGAGAAGCTCAACTGCCAGGTGCAGTCGACCATCGGCAGGCTGCAGGAGCAGAAGGCAGTGCTGGAGGCGAGGATTGAATCGGAGGAGCGGCGCGTAAAAGAACGCGAGGAACATCTGCGCGAGGTGCACGTGATGCTGGCCCAAATGAAGGAGGATCAGGGCATCTTCGCCGGAGTGCGGCGCTCCTCTGAGAGGGTCGCCGCGATGCTCCATCAGTTTGTCGCGCAGTACACATCCAAGGACGGCGACGTCGTGCGACTCCTGGAGCGCTGCCACGGGCAGACCCAAGGGCGGGCCCCAAACGACTGGCGTACGGCAACAAATGACCTTCGAAGGCGGCAATCCGTCCTCGAGGAGCATATCAAGCACATTGAGAAGCATCAAGCACTCCCTGCTGGCTTCGAGGATATGCTGCTGGAGTGGTCGCACGGGGTGTGGAGGCAGCAGCCGGAGTGTGCGACGGCACTCCATGTGTGTGAGCAGCTGCTTTGCCATGATGCTTCGAGTGCAATTCGTGGACTAATTCCGCCATCGTCTGTCTGCGACGACGCTGAGAGGGAGGAGGCGTGTTGTGAGGCCTACGCGACCGCCTGCATACGTGAAATTGACGCCCTTGTCAGTCTGGGCGAGTCCGTAGAGGGCGAAGGTGAAAAGGTGGGCCTCTGCTGCGCCGTCGTTCCACGGGAGCGGGTGGAGGCGGTGCGGTCACGCTGGTCCTCTGTGTGTCGGGCACGCGTCTCCCTGCGAGAGGCCGCCGCGGCCTCAAGCGACCTTTCCGCGGGGCTGGAAGAGCAGCTCGCGTTGTTGCAGCTCCTCTCGGAGCGGGTTGGCATCCTGGATGCACAGATTGCGGACGCCCATTCCAACCTGCAGCAGGACTCCATCGCAATACGGAGAGAAACGGCCATGCATGAGAGTTTGCTCTCCGCTTGGCAAAAGGCGCTGCAAACGGCATCTGTACACATGCAGTGCAGCGCGACCTACCGCTCTTCCGTGGCAGCCAAAGAGGGTGAGGTGGCAAGGCAGGAGGCTGCGCTGACGGCCAAGACGACGGAGATGGAGACGCAATGGATGACGCTTCACACGCGGGCAACGAATCTGTACACCACCCTGCTGGTGGAAAAGCAGCAGATGGCGGAGGCGCTGCTTCGCCTAAAGGCAGCCACAGATGAGCAAACAGCACAGGAATCGCGGCTGGGTGCCCTCCGCGAGGCCTGCTCGGTGGTTGAGGGCAACTTGCGGCAGGACTGCGACGAGATGGATCGATGCGCCCTCTCCAGCGCGAGCAAAGCCTCACAGAGGATGCTCTCAGAGCCAGCGGCACTGGGCGCTGGAAATGACAACGACGACGACGACGACGACGACGACGACGCGGAAGAAGATCCTACTCTAGCTCCTTCGATAAATGACCTTCTTGAGCAACTCCTGCAGTGTCAAACGCAGAGGAAGGGAGGAAACACCGGAGAGGGCGATGCAGGGATTCCGGAGAATGCTGTGTTAGCCGCATTGGTGGCATCAACCGGGCTGGACGCGGACCTCTTGTGGCGTGCCGCCGGTTCTCTTGCTGGCTTGCAGCGGGAGGTGGATCATGAAGTGGCAGCCCACCTCAGGTGGAGGCAGGAAACGGACGAGGAGCTGCTTGCGCTGACCGCCGAGTGACTCCCTGCCATTAAAACTGTTGTTTGTTTGTTCGTTTTTTTTTTTTGCATTGTTATTATTTGTTGTTACCTTCTCTATTAACCATTTTTTTTTATCCTGTCACGGTTTATTTCTTCTGTGGCCTCATTGCCGCTTCCTTCCTCTTTTTCATCCATGCATTCGTCCTGGATAGACTTTTTGCCTCCTCACAGTGCTTTGCTGGCGACAGACAACGTCACGCAGGGAGATGTCTGCGCACACGTGCGTATGTGTGCGTGCTGTTGCTTACAGTACCGGCTTACAGGCAGGGCCACCACACACCACAGTGGCCTCCTCCTTCTTCCCCACACAGACTTTTTTTCTTTCTTTCTTTCCTTCTTTGTGTGTGTGTGTGTGCGTGCCCGATGTATGGTGGAGTTGACGTGTTTCTCGTCCCCCTCTCTCTCTCTCTCTCTCTCTTTAATTTCGTGTCAATGCCTGCGCGTCGGTGGGAGGCTGCGCCACCACGCACTGAGGTCGACTAAGACAGCTGCAGCACGTAAACCGCCGTTGCGGCGATTTGAAGGTAGGAGCACCCCCCGCACACTGCGCCAGGTGCACGGAGCGCGAACGCGCGATAAAGAATAAACAAATTTACAAAAATCAAAATTAACAAACATAAAACCAAAACAGAAAAAAAAAACAAAGGGACAATGGGGCGGCAAGAGCAGTTTTTAGTCACGCGTCTGCTGCTGCTCGCGGTGGTGGTGGCGTTGGTTTTTCTGTCGGCGCAGGCGCAGGCGCGCCTATTCCGCACTGCTGGCAGCGACGACTTGTACACGCGCCTTGGTGTGTCGCGGGGGGCGACGAAGGACGAAATCAGAAAGGCCTTCCGCAAACTCACCCGAGAGCACCACCCGGACATGCAGGAGACGTATGAGGCGAAGGAGGCGGCCAAGGCGTACATGGTGCGGGTGCTTCAGGCCTACAAGGTTCTCTCAGACGACGTTCAGCGGCAGGACTACGACAACTTTGGAACCGTCCCCGGGGAGAAGCTCGATACCGCGGAGTTTTCGGCGCAGCAGATATTTGAGTACTTCAATCAGCAGCCGCCTATCCTCTCCAAGACCCGGCAACTGGAGACACTGCAGACGGTGGAGCGGATACTACACTTCCGCGGAAACCGGCTGTTCCTGCTGCAGGTGTACGACGACGCATGCGACTCCTGCCGCTGGTTTGCCTCCACTTGGGAGGGATTTGTCCAGTCGAGTCTCGTCGAGGGCGGTGTGGTGGAGATGCTTCGCATTGACGCCTACTCCGCGGAAGGGCCATCGCTGCTGAGTGCGCTTGGTCTCTCCTACAAGGGAGAGGTCGGGGTATACGCCTTTATCGACGGGAAGACGTGGCCCATGCCGCACCTGCAAACCGTGGTGAGGTCGCGAAGTGGGCGTAACGCCTTCACGTCGCTCTTGGACTTTGTGATGAGCTTCTTCTACGACAGGTACACTGAGATCAATTCTCTGAAGGTGGAAAACAGCACACGGGCCCTTGTGGAGTGGCTGCGGGAGGAGCGCGACGCCCCAGATGGCCTGCGCGTCCTGCTGCCGCCGCTGACGGTGGAGTCCGTGGCTCTCACCCTGTCTTACTTGTACGAGGGCGTGGCCGTGGTACGCTCCGTGCCGCGGGCGGTGCTTCAGGACTTCGTGGAGAACTACTGCGGGCAGCCGATAGAGGTGCGGGACCGCGACGGTGAGCTCCTGCCAATGCCGGAGTTCATCGTGGTCTCTTTGCGGCAGCTTGACGAAGTCGCTGACGCGGCGTCCACGGAGACGTCACAAGTCATGCGCAACTGCAGCGGTGTCAACATTGGGGCCAGTGCGGCTCTCTCGTATCGTAAGGCAAACGCGTTTTTGAGGGAGTTTCTGCCGCCACGGCACCCGGGAATGGCAAACCTGACTTACGTCACAAGCAACTCGCTCTACGAAGTGTGTCGGCGGCACTGCCTGCTGTGGTTGCGCGAGAGCTGCTCGGAACCGCCAGCTGACGTCTGGAAGAACGCCCTGGCGGGGGATTACAGGCCGTTTGTGGTGGGGTACGTCTGCCTGGACGGCGAGCCGGGCCTGCGTGACGCCCTTCCGACGTCGGCGCACGACACTCTCGTGGCCATCGTGGACGGCGACGAGAGCAGCCTGCACTTCCTCCCCCATGATCCGCGACCAAGCCAAATCGCGGAGGCGCTCTCCCGGCTGCTGACGGAGGAGCAAGAGAAGGGCCCGCTTCGCCTCACAACGCCTTTGTCAGCTTTGATGACCTCGCGGCCGTTTTACTTGTCGCACGTGCAGTACTGGTACATCAAGTTCCGCTGGATTTACAGCTTCGTGTACCCAGTCTTCTCCAACACCTACCCGTTCCTGATGATGTTGATCATCCACAAACTCCTCGGCCGGCTAAACCTCCTGGGCAACAATACCGCCACCACCACCACCAACAACAACAACAACAATGGAAGCAGCAGCAGCAGCACAAACGGCAACAGTGGGGCGGCAGCTTCCAGCGCGCAGAGTGCAACCGCCAAAACAACTGAATGCGGCCACGCCGGTACGAAAGGCACGACGAGGAATGAAAAACGGTTGCTTCCCTTCACCGCGGGAGACTTGGAGGCGGCGAAGGTTGGGAAGGGGTTTCTTCTGCTTTTGTTCCAGCCCGGGGAGAAGGGGGTGCCGGTCCTTCCACCCCTTGCGGAGGACTCAAGATTTGCTCTGCGTCTGGCTTCGCCAACGGATCCAATTTGGGCCCCATGGCTTTCTCAACACCGCCAAGAAGAAGAAGAAGTCGCTCTTAAGCGCGAAGACGCATCAGCAGAAGGGGAGGAGGAGTTAATCGTCGTCGCCATCCGGCAAGGAAGGATGAAGGCGACCATAAAGCCATCCAAGGCGGCAATGGATACATGGTTGCATGATCTTCTTGATGGCACCATCACTTTGGCAACACCCCTTCCGTAAGCGCCTTTTTGTGTATGCCTGCGAGTGGAAGGGTCTTCTTCTTTCTTCCCTTTTTTAATTTGTTTTATTTCTTTAGCTACATATAGCGTTTTTTTTTCTATTATCACTGAAAGACGTTTTTTGTTGTTGTTTTCTGCTTTCCTTTTGGTGCTGCTCAGTTAAGCTAACTTGTGGTGTCTGAGCGTGTCATGGGGGAGTATTTGTTCAATACACCCCGTCTTTCGCTGCGCTGGCAGAAACTTCGCGGTTTTTTCCCCTCTCTGGAGAGGAGGCGGGGGGCTGTCGTAGATCACGCCCCTGCGTCTCTGGAGGCGGGTGTGCTGTCTGTCGCCGTGCGCATCCGCTTCTTCCCCTCCTCTCCCCGCAGTGAAGTAGCGATAGCTCGGTGGCACCCACGCATGCGCGCCCGGGGGAGCGGCGCAGGCGCCGTATACACAAGCGCAGAGGCGGCGAAGCGCTCCCAGGGGACGCTGCAGCCGATCCCTGCCTTCGAGCTGTACAAGAGTGCGCGGGAGGAGGAACTGCTCTGCTACCGCGGCGTCTGTCGCGTGTTGTGCATGCGAAGCGGAGGAAGCTTGACGAAGCAGCAAACGCGTGTCCTAGAAGACTTGCGGGAGGAGCTATGCATTCCCTCCCAGCGGGCCGAGGCGGAGATGCTAGCGGCACTGGAGGATGTGTTGGTCTCAAGCGTCGCGGCCTCTGGTGTATTAAAGCGGCGCGAGGACTTTTTCGACGGCGTGTCGGATGTGCCACTGGAGGCTCTTCAGGATGGGGAGCGGGCGCAGGACGATCACGCCTCGCTGTACGCTCCCCCAGCAAAAGTGCCACGAACAGAAAATGCGATAGCTGGTACCGCAGCGACAACGGCAACGAGCTCGTGGCGCCGCGGGCCAGCAACGAAAAACTCTCACACCTCGCTTCTCAAAACCATAGATAAAATCGGTCATGAAGTGACTACGTTAAGCGCTAAGTTTCTTTCTGCTGTTTCAGTGGCTGATCAGGAGGCGTTACGGCGAGAGTTGCACGCAAGACGGGAGCGCCTAGTGCTGCTACTGAGGGAAGCCGAGGGCAATGCGGTCGATGCGTCGGGAAGCTCCAGCGCACTTCCCTCGGAGCATGGCTTTTGACGTGTACTCTTCCCCTGCACCACCTCACCCGGTGGTGACAGTTTTAATCCGTAACTTTTTCAATACTAGCGTAGGAAAGAGGCAACCAACATCGACGCTTCACGTGTTGCTTTCATGGAACGTGAATTGTGACCTGCGCACCGCACTCCCTGTTTCTATTTCTACACTTCCCTTTTGTGTTGTTGCAGCCTTCGCTCCCTCCTTTGCGCCTTTGTAGAGGACAACCCCTTGCAACGACGACGGTTTGCATTTTATGCTTTCCTCTTTTGTTGATGCGTTGTGCGTGCCCTCTTTCCCCTCCGCCGCTCTCCCTTGCTGTTTTTTTTTTGGAAGTTTCTCTTGCACACGCTTGCGTGCGTGTGACGGAGACGCGCGGGGGAGGGCGATCGCAGCCCGGGGGGATGCTGCGTGGTCTGCCACTGTCGAAGGGAGAAGTTGTTGGGGATGCGGCGCAGTCTCCGCGCCTGCGCGCACGCGTCGTCGAGGTGCCGGCAGAAGCAGTACCATGGCACACGTGCTGCTGCCCAACTTGTCGCGCCGCTGCTGACGGATGCTCTCGACGCGGTTTCCTCCTCGTCGGTAGACGCGCGGCGCGCGGCGCTGGCGTCGGCGCTGGTGGGTGTTCCACCGTCCCTGGCGCATGAGGGCCCCCTCGCCTGCGGCCACCTGAGCGCCCTCACGGGCCTCCGTGAGGGGGAGCTGCGGCGCGTGCTGTCGGCAACCCTCGCCGAGGCACTGGAGGCGCCGCCGACCGTCCACGTGGCGGCGATGTGGCCTCCCTCCTTGCAGGAGACGTACGTGCGGGAGTTGCTGCGTGCACGCGCGGCGGAGACACGGCAGCCGTTTCCCCGCCGGTTCGAGGCGGGACTGACTGCCCGTTACGTCTTTGCTGGGAGCCCGGTGGAGGCGTGCGTGTCCGGCTGTGGCGAATGCGCAACTGGCGAGGGGAGGGCGCTGGAGCCGGCGCAGGCGGGGCGCTGGCGACAACTGATTGACACCTACACCTTGCTGTTGCCGGACCGCTCCCCGCTGCACGAGTTGGAGAACTTGCCGCAGGAGATTGGCATTGGTGAGTTGCTGTCCTCGCTGTGCAGCGAGGAGCAGGGCGAGGTTGAAGCAATCATCGACGTCGGCGGCGGCAACGGATTCCTCGCGGCCCAGCTGGCGGAAGTATTGCGCTGCGAAGCACTCGTCGTGGACCCCTTCACCCCGAAGCACGCCATTGACAACGACAGTTTTCCGCACTGGGGGGAGCTGGCGAGGCAGCGGCCGCGTGTTCCGCGTCGACAGCCGCTGCGCCGCATCCCTCGACGCCTCACGGAGGTGGACTGGGTGGCCACGCCGCTGGATTTTAGCCGCTGCGCCATGATTGCGAAACACCTCTGCGGGACTGCCATCGACACCTGCGTGCGACACCTGCGGGCCGTTGAGAGGCTGCCTCGTGTCATGGTGCTTGTTCCCTGCTGCTTCAACAAGGGCTGCTTTGCGGATTACTGCAACCCCGACTACCTCCACCGCGTCGCCGGTGTGACGACAGAGGCCGCCTGGAGCCGCTGGACGCGACTCACCGACTGGAATCGCTCAAGCTACCAGCAGGCTGCCGCCACGCATCGCACGCCATGCTGCGGTGAGATGGCGGAGGAGCAGCAGCGGCACCCAAAGCGGAGGAAAAAGCTGCATCACTTTTTGCCCTGTATGGACGACGTTGCCTCCGTGGCAGAGGCGGTCATCAATCAGGGACGTGTGCTTCGGCTAAGAGAGTTGGGGTACCACGCCGCCACGGTTGAGTACGTTCCTCGCTGCGTCACACCAAAAAATCGCGCTATTGTTGCCGTTCGTGACGTTAAATTCCCGCCCCGACTACACAGCGGCGTGTAACCGCGGACCCCCGCGAGGACTCGGCCGTGGTCGCCGCTGCCTACGTGCATACTTGCAAAACAATACTCTTCCCCCCTCCTCCGCCTCCCTCCACTGCTTCCTGCTGTCGTACAATGTTCAGCTGTAAAGGTTTGAACGTCACTCGCTCCCCTGGTCTCACTTCTCCTCAGCAGCCGTGTAGCTAGGTCTGCACGCAACAACTCCGCTGCAGCCAAGACCAATAACAACGACAAGCAAACGAGGAAGAGCAAGTGTAGTTTACATGAGCCGTCACGTCGCGTACAAACGCTTCTTATGGGAAAAAAGAGCACTGGCGTGCGTGATGGTCACGCTCTGCGTTATTGCCTCCTGCGTCGTATATGGAAGCTTGTTTTTGTGCAACCGTACGGCGGGCAAAGAGATATTTGGGGCACATAATAAACTTGCTGCTGCAACACGCCTAGGGCGCTCTGCTGACCACGCGTACCGCGTCTTCGTCTTTACGTACGCACGGCCCGATGGGCTCAAGGAGACACTGACGTCGCTGTTGAACGCCGACTACTCCAAGGCATCTGCCGGCGCAGTCGACTTGGAGGTGTTTGTGGATTACAGGCGAAGTGAGAGCCCCCAGCTGCAAGAGAAGCAATCGGCCATCATACAGATGCTCAGGGACTTCGCATGGCCTCACGGTGGGTATAAAATACACCAGCGACTGATCAACGCCGGGCTTCGACTCTCCATCATGGAGGCATGGCAGCCCACAAGCGACCGCGAGGTGGCGGCGTTCTTTGAGGATGATGTGGTGGTGTCGCCGTACTGGTTCTCGTGGGTGCACGACGCACTCGGGCAGTACGCACCAGTCGGGGCCGGAAACATCATAGAGGCTGACCCCCATTTCGTTGGCTTCGCCCTGTTTCGTCCCATCTTCGATGAGCTCTCAAGGAGGCGCGTGGAGGTGAAGAATAGTTACGCCCCCTTCCTCCTACAGCAGCCCTGCAGCTGGGGAGCCGTGTACCTCCCGGGGCCCTGGCGAAGGTTTAGGGAGTTTTTTGAGAGGGAAAAGGAAAACGATCTAAGGGTAAGGCGTTTGGGCCGTGCACGGAATCCTACAAGCAACTACTGGAACCACAATTCCTCGTGGAAGAAGTACCTGATCTACTACATGTACCGGAACGGCTTGTACATGATGTATCCCAACCTTCCCGAGAAGCTTGTGCTCTCCACTAGTCGTCTGCTCCCAGGGGAACACCCAACGCCGTCAAGGAAGCTCTTTGTTCTCAGTCTGGTACAGAAGGAGCACCTGCGGAAGGAACTGGTGGAGCGCTCACTGAGCCAATTCACGAGCATGAAGGACATGAAGGTCTTTGACGTCATGTTTAATGAGGCGCAAAGTGTGGATGCCCTCCTACCGAAAGGGGGTTAGGCATAGTTTATCGCAGCGCACATTGTGCCATCTCTTATTTATCCTGTTTTTATTACTATTATGTTTGTTGTTTCCAGAGTTGGGTGATGGTGGGTGGGGAGTTTGTCTGCTTCCGGCCGTGCTTATCTTGCTTATGGCGTAATCGCGTTGAACCCCGCCTCCCCAGGACTCTCCCGTTCTTCGCCAGAAGGGTTTGATTTCCTCGGCTTGGCGGTACCCCGCCCCGCACCGCAGAAGACCCAAGGAACGCTGCGGCTACTGCTGTGTATGTGTTGGGCCTGCTGGATGTCAGGTTGTGCAAAAGAGAGTGCTGTTGAGGGCCACTTTTGTGGCACTGCACGGCGTTTGCTTGATGGACGTCGTGCACAATGCCTACTACTATCTTCCTCTCTGTGTGTGTGAGAGAGAGAGAGTGGGTGTGCGGGCGCAGTCTTTGACGTTGTTGCCCCACCTGCCTTTATGCCAACTCCCTAGTTTTAGGGCCAAGTAAAATGATTTCTTCCGTGCAGCGCTTGCTGATCGGCTGGTCGGTATTGTTTCTCATGGTGGTGCTGGCGGCGGTGCAAGCCTTCATCGCGCAACATCGTCCTCGCCCCGGCGGCAGAGCGTAGCGGCTGCCGACGCCAGTGAGGTGGCCATGTTCCTGCGGTTGGCCGATCCGCTGACCACGCGTGCCGCGTCTTCGCGTTTACGTACGCACGGCCCGATGGGCTCAAGGAGACACTGGCGTCGCTGCTGAGCGCCGACTACTCCAAGGCGCCTGCCGGCGCAGTCGAGTCTTTGTTGTTGGGGCTTGCGACAAGAAGCAGCTGGGGGTTTGTTCGTTATATAAAGGTAATGCACATCGGGGTGAAAAGGTTCTTTGAAGTAATAATTGCTGAGACGTAGTACGCAAACAGTTTTGGAGATGGTGGAGTGTGTGGAAGTGAGAAATCGTTTTGTTGCTTCTTGCTGTTGCTTAATTGTGACGGTAAAAAGTGGGCCCATTTTATATGTGTGTGTGCGTCTGTTACTTGGCCTGGCGCTACTGTCGCTGATTTATCTCTCTCTCTCTCTCTCTCTCTGCGGCTGGTGGCGTGGGCCTGCAGCTGCATATATCCACCTTCTTTTATTTCCGTTTGTGTTTCTATCCTCTTACTGGGCGAGGAAGTCTGTTGTTTCGGCGGCCACTTCTTGTTTCTCTGTGCTTCAGTTGTTGTTTTTTTTGTCTCGTTTGCTCTGCGCAGGCTGCGCGGCGGGTGGGGGCTTGACAGCAATTGTTTGCTCCTTTGCTTTCTTTATTTTCCGTCTCTTCTCTCTCGCGCTCCCGCGCTGCTCTGCGCCACACTCGCTGGGGGGCGGGTGGGGACGGGGGCCGGTGCGAAGAATACGCGTAGGGCATTCGAGGTTGGCGGCTTTGTGCGTGAAGGAGCGTCTCTCGGTGCGTGTGTGTGTGTCGAGTGCCTTCGGGGTGGTGGGGGTGGGGGAAAAAAAAAATGGCTCAGGTCGAGCCGCTGGTGGGGTACCTCCTGTCCAAGTACGCCGACACGGTGACGGAGGGCCTCGAGAAGATTCGCCGCCAGGCGCAGACGGATAGGGCGTTTGCCGCCGCCTTCCTGCTGCACCCGCAGGGGCTCGTGGCGCTGCAGGAGGTGCTGCAGAAGCGGGAGTTGTGTGCGCCTGCGTTGCAGACGGTGACGCAGCTGGTGGAAGCGTGCGACAACGCAGGTGTGCGCTCGAGCGCCCTGCGGGAGATGTGCCGCGGCAAGGCTTTTTGGGTGCTGCGCCGCGGACTGGCGTCGCTCTCGGATGCGATGTTGCCCGTCACGATGGCCGCCCTGCAGTTTCTCGCCGTCGTGGCGAGCAGCCTCCCCAAGTTGGTTCTTTCTCGTTTCGGTAACACCGTGCCGCTGCAGCTGTCGTGCTTCCGCCTGCAGCTGCCCTACTCGCAGCGGCGCATCCGCATGGCGCGGGTGCAGTTTCTTCTCAACCTCGTCGCCACCCCACACGCGGGCACCGTCGAGATTGTGGTCTGCGCCCACGGCTTTCTCACGCATCTTCTGGAGGACGCCGCGGAGCTGCTGCAGGAGGGCACAGAAACGGGCGTCAGCCTCGCCCGCGCGGCCCTCCGCGTGTTCGGCGAACACTTCATGGAGGGGCGGATGCCGTCGGCGCGCAAGCGGGCGGTGCTGCTGGCGCAGAAGAACATCGTCCGGCTGCTCGTCAAGGCCCTGGACCACGCGCTGGTGGCGGAGTACGCCTTTGGCATCTTGTGCCGCATTGTGGTGGAGCTGGTGGAGTCCCCGTGCGACTACCACGTCATGCGGCTCGAGGCGGAGGACCGGGGGATGCCGAACTACCTGCTCTTCTTCATTCTGCGGCAGCTGCGCCCGAAGAGTTCCCCGGCGTCGGCGCGGCTGGCGATTTTTATCCTGCATCAGGCACCGGACCTGATCCGGCCCTTTTTCACGCGTGTTTCAAGCCATCTTGGGGACGACGGCGGCGCGGCGCGCATCTCCGCCACCACCGCCGCGGTGGCCACGCTGAACACCATGACGCGCGCCATGCTCACGCCCATCCCCTACCACCTCGCCGCCGGCAAGGCACGGCTGGAAACGGTGGAGGCGCGGGCTACGACATTCTTCGCTATGAGCTCCGAGCACGTGGCGGAGGAGATATGCCCCGCGTGGGTGGCAGAGTACGTGCACCGCCACATCAATGGGTCCAGCGACCTCCTGCTGCTTGCTTTCGCCATTCAGTTGACCTGCGCCATCCTGACACGCGCCAAGGCCATTCAACACCTCGTGGCGAAGCTGCAGGACGCTCAATCGGAGGAGGAAAAGGACGAAGGCAGCCGTAGCGAGTGGGACACGTTTGATGCCAAAGTGCAGGCCGCCTTGTTAAAGGTCATTCCTCGTCGGGAAGAGTTTTGGCACCGCATGACGCAACAACTGCATCCAATGATGTACCCCGCGTCCAACGCAAAGGGCGAGGCCAAACAGGGTCCTGCAGAGAAGGTTGTATTTTTGTCGCAACGCATGTTACTTCTGATGGAGTTGTACGCGGATGTATTTCAATTGCGGATGTCTTGGCTGAGTGCGGTGCCCTCGTTCCTTCCCACGTTTCGCACGTGTGCGCACCCCATCGAGGATGCCTTGCGCCGCGGGGAGGGTGCGCTTACGTCCTGGCCGGCGCCAAGCATCTCTGCCCTCTGCTCACTGCTCGTGTCCGCGCTATCGCAGGGGGTCTCCATGACGAAGCTGCACCATGTGACGATGAGTAGCACAAAGAAGGGGGTGTTGGAGTGGCCGCTTCTACTGAGTGTGATGTTGTGGGCCGTCCGGCACCGCAACCCAGACGGCGAGGAGGGGCAGCTGGCGTGGGCGTGGGTGGCGCGACTGATGCAGTGGACGGTGCACAGCGTGACGGTGCGGTTTGTGTGCGAGTTGGAGGAGGCGTTCGTGTGGCTTGCGACGATGGACGAGTCAACGCTTCCGTGCTTTGTGCACCTCATTAATTACTTGCTGCAGCGAAGCCTCTCAAAGTCCGCCGACCGCATTGCACAGGAGCTGATGCAGGGCGATGCCGGCATCATTGTCTGCGCCGCCCGGTCCTTTGCGGCCAAAGCCGAAGAGAAATCCACGTCGGGTGACGTCGGTGCCGTGGCAGAGAAGGGGGCGGGGAAGCAGCGGCGGGGGAACAAAATGCCGCGGCACGAACACGCCGACGAGGCGGAAGCCGGGGGAGCGGCGGGGGGCGGCAGTGATCTCTGGACAACCGATTTGCGGGAGCACGTGGCGGCGTTTAAAAAAGTGACGGAGCGGGTCGCGCGTGCGTGGCCGGACCGCGGCGCACGCATGAAAGAGGCGTTGCCGATCGTCTTTGCCAGTGCACGCACCAACGAGTCCGGCAAGCGGCGCATCGCACTGACGATGCTGCAGGCCGAGAAGGAGCACCGCTCCCTGCGCCCCATTCACGATCAACTGCTCGAGTTCTGCCGGACGCTGCGCCCACCCGTGCCGGCAACGGACGCGGAAGAAGAGGCGGCGCTGCTCTCCACCGCCCGCCGCGGCGACGTCGCTGCCCTGCTGCGGCAGTTGGACGGGGGCGGCGGGCCTCGGCCATCGGAGTGGTGCAAGTTCCCCACACTGGGGTGGGAGCTGGCGGGTCTCCTGCTGCGACGCCTCAATGAACTCGGTGGAAGCCGCCTCGATGAAGTGGAAAGTGTCGGGGAGGCCTACCTCAGTCTACTGGCCTGCGGCCATTCCTTGCTGGAAAGCGTCGCCAACGACGCGACGGCGGTGGCGCAGGTTTTGCTCGACCGCCGCCTTAATGAAGCAAATACGGTGGGATTTCTTCTTCTTCTGCTAGCGGCCACGCGGATTTTGCTGCATGGGCAAGCTCAGCCTGCGCCGTTGACGTCCGCCGCACACGCTCGGCTGGAGGATGCGACGGTGACGGCCCTCGCACGTCTCCTCCTGTGCACGTATTCGGGGACAGTCTCCGCGATGGATCGCGTCCGCTACACCACACTGCTCACCCTTAGCTACCTGCAGCAGCAGGAACAGCGGGGCGCCGGGGCGCAGCGGCACGGTGGTGCAGAGGAGACACCGCGCGACGTGGAAGCCGAGGATGAGGACGCGGCGGGGCGGCGAGAGGAGGAAGATGCACCGCTGGTCGCATCGCGGCGTACGACGACGCTGCGTGTCTTTGGTGGAATGCTGGTGCCACACGTCATTATGGACCAGCGCTTCCTCATCATGAACCACCAAAGCTCCCCGCACGTTGCCCCCGAGGTCGACATGCTGTCGCTTCTGGTTGACATGTGGACAGAGGAGGAGGTGGCGGCGGCGGCGCTGCAGTGCCCCGCACGCCTGCACAACACCCTGCTGGTGAATGCGAAGGTGGACCTTGGCTGGGAGGTGCTGCGAAGCCTCTTCCCCGAATTCTCTGCGCAGGGCGACGTCCCGCTGGCCTCTTTTGACGCGCTCACTGCAGCCACTGTGATGGACCCGCGGTATTTGGCGCCGCTGCTCCACGTCGTGCTCGCCATGCCGGCAGAGCAGCTCCCGCGAAAGAACATTGGGACCAAATGCATCCCGTTCCTTCTGCGCTCGTTGTCCTTCACGGACCCGCAGCTGCGACGGCTGGGCGCAACGGCGCTGTCTGCCGTCTGGACGCCGAGCGGCCCCACACGCATTGTTGTTGGCTTTGCCCGATTAAAGCTGACACAACTCGCCGGTAAGCGGGGGCGATCCACGCGTTGCCCGCACCCGCACCCGCAACAGCAGCAACAGCAACAGCAGCAGCAGCGGGGAGGCGGGGAAATCGCATGGGACTGTCCAAGACTTCCCGCCCCCGTCTCCGCCTTTCTGGTGATGGCGCTGCAGCCCCTCGCCAACGCGGGTTATCCCCTGCACAACGACATCATGCGTTTCCTCATGGAGACGCAAGAGGCCCTTGCGAATCCTGTCCCGCTGCATCGCTTTTTGACGTCCTTCCCACTTGCCTGCATCACAACCCCGCTAATGATTAAACGCCAAGAAGCTGCGCAGAGCATGACGAAAAGTCATATTGCCGCTGCTTCAGCGGAGGAGCTGGTGCAGGAACTGAAGTCGGGGGCGCCCATTCATTTAGAATTTATTGTGCGCCTGATTCAGTTTGGGTGTGCCACAAATGGGGATATGATGGCACTACTTCGATCCGAGTCGCTGCAGACGATGATGCTGCTTGCCTCTATGCTGGCCGCCTCTGCAGAAATTCGCCTGCAGTTGCTGCGCTGCCTCCATTTCGCCTGCACCACCTCCTCCGATGTGGCGAAACAGGCTCTGGAGGAGGGCCATGTCTTGTCGTGGCTGCTTGGCTTTGCGGCGCAGCTGCTGCGAGAGTACGGCGGGTGTGTGCACATGTACGGCGAGCCGCTCTTCATGGAGGTGGTGACGCTGCTGCGGAAGCTCTCGCCGCTCTCGCGTGCCTCGCCCCTCCAGGCGCGGCAGGTGCGGCAGCAGCTGGAGCTCCTTCGTGACGGGCTGCTCGCCAACCGCGTGACGACGAGGGACGTGCTGGACGGGGTCGAGGGCGTCCTGCGGGGGATGCGCGGCGAGGAGGGGGCCGCCGCCGCCGCAGGGACGGCGCCGCCGAGGAAGCGGCGGGCGCCGCACAACAGCTGGCGTCCGGCGCAAAGAATCAAGCAGCGGTGATGGTGAACACCGGCAGAGCGAGCGACGGGAAAAGAAGAAGAAACGAAAATGCAAAAAAAAAAGAAACGACAACAATAACAAACAACTTTGGTTTTTTTTTTTTTTTTTACATTTCGTCTTTTTCCTGCTGCAAAGGCAACCACACACGCACAGACTGCACACGCACACATACGGTTAACGGGCTTAAATCCCATGAAATGAAGAAAGAAGGAGAAAATGGAAGAAAGACAAAACAAAACAAACAAACAAAGTGAAGTGGAGGAGGAGGGGAACTCGCAACAACATTAGGGGATGAATAAATAAATACCGTGGCGTCCTTGTCGCTCCGATGCTTCATTCCGCGTCCCTTTTACTTTCTTATACGCCTCTCATTGTGGTGGGGCCCTTTGTCCTCATCCCTCATCGCCGTGCTGGCGGGGAGTTGTTGTTTATTTGCATCACGGGACTTTCCTTCTTGCCCTCAAGTGTCGTGTTGTTGGGCCCTCCTCTTCCTATCCCTGGCGATGCTGCGCTCAACGCGGCCACGCGCATGCAAAGACAAGGTGGCCAGCAGCCAAAGTTAGCACTGGCCACAAACGCTCAATGAATTGCTCCTGCGGCGTTCCGGTGCGCTGCACGATCAGCAAAGCCGGCACCCTGAATTACACGTGTGCCGTGAGTAAGTGCCGTTTCTTTGCGTTGTCGCCCGTGCAAGCCGAGGGATGGCGCAGGGTGGTGCCTCCCCCTCGCGGCACGGGCGACTTCGTGGTGGTCCGCTTTGAGGCCGTGCTGCACCCAGAGAAAAAGACGACGCATGTAGCCGCCACCGTCGCACCGCTTGAACTGGATGCGGTGACCGCCGTTCTCGAGAACGCGCAGTTTCAGCCGATGTGGCACGTGGCGAAGCAGGCGTACCTGTACCCAATGGAGTTCTACGGTCAGGTGGTTGCGGCGCTCAGGGGACTTACGACCCCGCGCGTGCAGGTAGAAGAGATTCCCCCTTTCTTCTTTCGTTGCCTGAGTGCCGCGCAGGAGATTCAGGCGCAGCAGCAGCGAGACACGGAGGGGAACGTCTTGATGGGCGCCGATGCAGCGGACGTGGTGTACTCGCAGCTGCGGCCGTTTCAGAAAAAAGGGGTGGACTTCATCGTCGCTCGCGGCGGTCGCGGCATGATTGCCGACGACATGGGCCTCGGCAAGACGGTCCAGGCGCTTGCCGTGGCTCACCACTACCGCAGCGAGTGGCCGGTGCTCATTGTGTGTCCCCTCTCCCTGGTGGAGAATTGGGCAAAGGAGCTCACGCGCTTTTGCAGCCTCCCCGCCGGCCGCATCGCCATTCTGCAGAACACCAAGGCAAGCATGATGGATGTGCACAGCGCCGTCATTGTGCCCTACTCCTCGCTGAAGTGTCTGGGCACGCTCTCGGTCAAGTTCCAGGTGGTGATTCTCGACGAGTCGCACTACATTAAAACCGTCGACTCTAAGCGAACGATGGCGGCCCTGGGGCTGTGTCGTAGTGCCCGCCGTGTGTTGCTCCTGTCCGGCACCCCCACGCTCTCACGGCCCATTGAGCTCTACCCCCAGCTGCAGGCAATCATGCACCCCGCATGGACCCCGACCAAGACGCAGTTCGGTGCGAGGTACTGCAACGCCTTTGTGAGTCGGTTTGGGGTAGACTACACGGGCCACTCGAACATGAGTGAGCTTCACGTGCTGCTGCAGCACTTCGTCATTCGCCGCACGAAGCGGGAGCTGGGGGCCGAGCTGCCATCCAAGAGCCGCCAGCTGTTGTACGTGTACGTCACTCCAAAGGAAAAGAAGGCGCTTGAAAAAAGCGTGCTGGCGCTGCGAAATTCGTTTAGGGACGGTGCGACGCTCCCAACGTTGGGGGCCGCGACGGGCACGACGAAGACGCATGGAACTCTTTCGGGTTCCGCCACCAGTGCAGCGGGCGGAGCGGCACCGACGCGAAGTTTGACTGCCTTTGACCTTAAAATCGCCACGGCGCGGGCCAAGATAGCGGCTGTGCAGGATTACGTAAAGAGCACCGCGGAGCAAATGGTGGAGTCCGGGCAGAAGGTGATTATTTTTGCCCATCACCAGTGCATGATGGAGGCGATTCGTGAGGCGGTGGAGAGTGTGCAGCCGAAGAAGCCGTTGGACTACGTTTACATCACAGGGGAGACGCCGGCGGCGCAGCGGGAGGCGCTGACGACGCACTTTCGAACCGCGCCCAACTGCCACGTCGCCGTGTTGTCGATGCACTCCTGTGGGGTGGGTCACAACCTAACCTGCGCCACAATGGTCGTCTTTGCGGAGCTCGACTGGAACCCAAGCACCCACCTTCAGTGCGAGGACCGCGTGCATCGCATGGGGCAATCCTCCGCGTGCGTCATCAAATACCTCCTCGCGGAGGGAACGTCGGACAGTGTCATTTGGCCCATGCTGCAGACAAAACTAACCGTGACGCACGCCGTTCTCGAGGACGCAAAGACATCTGGCGAGGGGTGGAGCGCCGGGGCCGACACACGTCGCATCCTCCGCTCCGACGTCTCCCCCACGCCGGCGTCGCAGGAGAAGCGGCAGCTGACGCTTGAGGGCTTTCTCTCCCACTCCGCCTCGCACTCACCCCGCCCACCGACGCAAACCAGTGAGGCAAGCGCCGACGTCTTAAAGTCGGCTGACGAACGCACTCAAGCAGATGCCTCGCCGGGAACGCCGCAACGAAGCCAATCCGCGGCGGCCCCGGCAGAGACGATTCTTCTTGACATGGCAACACTGCGCCAGCAGCGGGAATCCCGTCGAGCTCCTCCTCCTTCGGCGTCGGGGTCGAGTCCAATTGCCGCGGTGGCGACGCCGACCCCGCCACACTCCCAGCGGCAGGCAACGTTGCATGAAGTGGTGGGGAGTTGCCCGTCAACCTCCATTGCGCAAGCAAATCCCCCACGAAACCCAAGTGCCTTCCGTGTTTCGGTTGCGGCGATCACACCTACAAAATGCACAGGTGCGAGCAACCCACCGGGCCTTTCCAAGAACACCACTTTGTGTGGCTCCCTTGTTTCTCATCCTGTGCGGACACTCTTTTTGAGCCGACCTGCCGCCGCAACTTCCGCATCGGCCTGCTCGTCGGTGAAGCCTAGCGGTGGGGCGGCCACTGCTGCTTCTGACGTTGCCTCTGCAGCTCGCAAGGAGGAGGCCCTTAGCCTGGCGCCGGCGCCGCGCTCTGAAGAATTACGCCGTTATAATGCCCGTCGAACGCTTTTCACGCTTGGCAGTGTTGTGGTAAA